GCTCTGAGCCATCAGCCCAGAGTCCGACGCGGGGCTCGAACTCACGGACCGCGAGATCGTGACCTGGCTGAAGTCGGCCGCTTAACCGACTGCGCCAACCAGGCGCCCCATTAAGATGAATTTCTTAAAGAGAGGAAATTTAGAGGAATGGTTAATTAAGGATGATGGGACACAAAAAGTATGATTATAAAGAAATGCCTGGAATTAAAATTTCCATTTTGCTTTCTAATAACAGAAAACTGAATTTACCATGGTGGATTCATTTCTACCACACCCAATACATTTCATCAATATGAGTCAATGCATTTTTATTGAGACTAAAATGAAATGTAACTAGCAGAATTCATTTTAATGGTTTCAAAGTCAATAGTAAGTAGCTCTATAAATACGAATGATGTCTAGGGAAAAACTTAATTTATTCTCAAATTGAATTCACAAACTAAATTTACTGACTGTGATTTTTACGTATACATTGGGGAAAATGGTTACCTTACACTAAATTATTTGAAAATCACTTTTGTGCCTGCCTAGAACCTAGTTAAATTTGATTTTTAAATTGTTGAAACCTGAAAATGTAAATCTGTTGTGTGACCTTAATCAAAATATTAACACTTTTGGCTATAGTTTCCTCATCAATAGAATGACTATTGGATAAAGTAAGTGAGGTGCTTTTAACTTTGGAACAAATAATCTTTTGTTAAGAAACTGTATGTTAGCCTCTCTCTTGAAGACATTTCTGAATGTCCTAGAATTTTATTGGCAAAATGACGTGTAGCTTCCTGTGTGCATTGCTTTGGAGAGAAGATCTATACATTTCATTAGATTCTATGCAAAGCAGACTACATGTTTATCTCTTTTTATTGATGCTGTCATGTTCTATCTGTCGTTCACTGAGTGCAGAAAAATAATCTATGAAGGTTGTTGAAAATATGGATCATTGGGACACACCAAAAAAGTTCCTGATTAGGAGGGTCGGGGTCAAGTTTACATGAGAAACACTGCCATATGCCACAGGACCCATCAAAATTAAGGATGTGATAACCAAAATGTAGTTTAGAGTATTTTAAAAATGATAAAACAATATGCTTTTACAGTCTGTGCTGATTAGTGTAACAGATTTTCTGAGAAGCCAAGCCCCTTAACGTTTCTTTATTGAAATGTTAATTTTTATGAAGATGGCTCTCCTGTCTACTTTCACAAGAAGGGCAAAGATTGAAGATGAAGATCCACTGAGTGGCTTTAAGTTTGTGTAGAATGTCTTATAAAAGGTTTCAATGTGTAGGAAAACAAAACTATTAACTAAAATAAGGTTTGAGTTCCATACACCCACTATACTACCCCTGCAGATTTAATGTAGCTGCTTTAGCTCTGGGGATTTTAGTTTGTTTGTTTGCTTGTGGTTATGGTTGTGTTTTGGGTTTTTTTTGTTTTTTTTCCTCTGAATTGGAAAGATCTAATTTTCTTCCTATAAAGTGGCCATTTTTTTTCTGCTTTACTTGTAATTCTACAGAGGTTTATATATTAAAGGAACTCTAAAAACAATCATGTCACCATGGAATCAAAGACATTACTTTTAAATTTCTTCATTCCATTCCTTATCACTTCCACAAAGTCATCTCCTTTGAAGTCATTGAAGTCTCCTCGAGAATTTTCAGGGGGCATGAGACAACACCAGTTATATTTCTAATTATTACTGATAAGAAATGGAAATATCTACTTTGTCCAGATGAGGTCATTAGCTAAAAGCTAAGGAAATGACTGCAATACATTAAAACATTCATCTAATTCACTCTTTAAAAAGTCCTGCCAGGCTGAAAAATGAGGAATTTAACAAAACATAAATGTTCTCATAAAGCCCTTTATATTCAGTTGCAGCAAATTAGGACTTTTTCTTTAAAAAATACAATAAATAAATCACTGGTGTCTAACGCATTTTAGGAAGTAATCATTAAATAAATGTCAAATAAAGAACAAATTCAGACTTAGTAGAGTCTTTATTCAAGGGGATAGTTGTAAGGTGAGAAAAGGCACTATTACAATAGAAAGTGCTAACCTTAGATCAACAAACGTCTTAGGAGTGAGTCAAAAAGGACATTTCCCTTACAGAGAGAAGTGAATATAGCTAGAAAGAGCAGGGTGTGGGCAAGTTGGATGAAGGGCTTGTATGATAGGATGGTGGAATAAAGAATGCTTTACCCTGGGGGCACCCAACCATCTCCCTCATAGAGCATGTGAGTCTTGACCTTGGGGTTATAAATTTTAGCCCCATGTGGGGTACTGAATAAAATCTTAAAAAAAAAAAAAAAAAAAAAAAAGGAATGCTGAACTCAGTCTATACCCAGGTGAGCTCTGAAGAAGGGCTGTAAGATGGCCCAGGCTGAGAGTGGCTCAAAAGCTAGGAACCTGGGGCAAGAAGAGAAGCTTGACCAAAATTTGGTTAATAAGCATTTGGTTCCAAAGGATCGGTGGGGATAACAATTCACCAAATCATTTATGAGGCAGAGAATAGGAATCTGGAGAGTCTATGTCTGGTCATGTCATAAGTAAACAAAGAGCATGCATGAGTCTTACCCAAGTTATCTAGAGAAGAGTGTTTCTTGCGGTTAAGCTGTACTCCAGAACCCCAAAATGTGGAGGACTTCTTCCCCTTCACTGTTTTCCAGGCTCACAGGAATGTGATAAAAGTCAACATAGTTAACAGATTTTTCCAAATGCCATAGTAAAATACCACCTGCATTTTGTATTTCTACCTCATTGTACATTCTTTATAGACAGAAAATAATTCTCTTTGGTCTAGAGATGCCCGTCTCTTGGGGGAGGGGTGGGGTAGTAGAATAGGGTATCTAATGTGATAGATAAATGCAAAGCAGAGTAGAACGAGTTTCCCTCACTGGTGAAAATTCAGAAAAGGAGCCATTCAGCGATGCATACTGCCCTGTCACTGAATCGAGCTTTGCCATGGCCACCCCATACAGAAGTGGTTTCAGACAGAGAATGTGGTTTAAAAAAAGTGTCTCTGTCAGCCAATTTTAGACTCATGGAATGTTTTTTAAATGTTTTATTTATTTTTGGGAGAGATAGACACAGTGCAAGCCGGGGCGGGGCAGAGAGAGAGGGACACAGAATCTGAAGCAGGCTCCAGGCTCTGAACTGTCAGCACAGCCCAGTGCAGGGCTCGAACTCACAAACCACAAGATCATGACCAGCCGAAATCAGATGCTTAACCGGCTGATCCACCCAGGTGCCCCTAGACTCATGGAATCTTATATCTGGACTATGAGTTAAATTTAGAGAAAGAACATTGCTCTTCCCAATAAAACGAGTTGATACTGCTCATTATGTTCTAAGCACATGCTGTTTGCTGGGTTGCCAGGCACGAAGGCAACATTCATACATAAGTTTATTTTTTTTTAATTTTTATTTATTTATTTTAATTCAAATGTAATTAACATTCAGTGTCCTGTTGGTTTCAGGTGTACAATATAATGATTCAACAAGTTTATACATTACTCAGTGCTCATCGTGATAAGTGTACCTTTAATCCCCCTCACCTGTTTCACCCATCCCCCTCCTTTCTGTCAACCACCAGTTTATTCTCTGTATTTAAGAATCTGGTTTTTAGTTCATCTCTTTTTATATTCTTTTGTTTTCTTAAATTCCACACATGAGTGAAATCATATGGTATTTGTCTTTCTCTGACTGACTTATTATACTTAGCTTTATACCATCTAGATCCATCCATGTTGTTGCAGATAGCAAGATCTCATTCTTTTCTATGGCTGCATAATATCCCATTGTATATATACATATATATACACACATATATATATTTATATATATATATATTTATATATATACACATATATATATTTATATATATATATTTATATATATATATTTATATGTTTCACACCTTCTTTATGTGTTCATCTATAGATGGACACCAGTGTTGTTTCCATATCTTGGCTATTGTAAAAAATGCTGCGATAAATATAGGGGTGCATACATTTTTTTGAATTAGTGTTTTGTTTTCTTAGGGTAAATACCTGGCAGTAGAATTACAGGATCATATGGTAATTATATTTTTAATTTTTTGAGGAACCTCCATACTATTTTCCATTATTTTACATGGTGGCTGTATCATTTTGTATTCCTACTAACAGTGCATGAGGGTTCCTTTGTCTCCACATCTTCACCATCATGCGTCCTTTCTTATGTTTTGATTTTGGCCATTCTGACAGCTGTGAAGTGATACCTCACTGTAGTTCAAATTTGCATTTCCCTGCTAATAAGTGATGTTGAACATCTTTTTATGTGTCTGTTAGCAATCTGTATGTCTTCTTTTGGAAAAAAAAACTGTTCATGTCTTCTGCCCATTTTTAATTGGGTTATTTGTTTTTGTTTTTGTTTTTGTTTTTGTTTTGGTGTTGAGTTGTATAAGTTCTTTGTATATGTTGGATATTAACCTCTTATCAGACACATTACTTACAAATATCTTCTCCCATTTGGTGGGCTTTTTGTTTTATTTGTTTGCTTATTTATTTATTTATTTATTTATTATTTATTCTTTCACAGTGCAAAACCTTTTTATTTTGGTGTAGTCCTAATAGTTTAATTTCACTTTTGTTTCCCTTGCCAAAGGAGACATATCTAGAAAAACATTTCTGCAGCTAATGTCGAAGAGATTACTGCCTATGTTTATGGTTTCAGGTCTCAGATTTAGATCTTAAATCCATTTTGAGTTTATATTTGTGTGGAAGAAAGTGGTCCAGCTTTTGTTTTTTCCATGTAGCTATCCAGTTTTCCTAACACCATTTGTTGAAGAGATCACCTTTATTCCCATTAGATAGTTTTGCCTCCTTTGCCATAGATTAACTGACCTTATTACCATGGGTCATTCATATTTAATTTTAAATCTTCAGGAGTAACAACTCGTAGGCTATTTTCAAGGTTTATATGTGACCTAATGCTTCTAAATCAAATTTAGCATCACTCAAAAACAGATTCTTAAACATTCCCATTGAATAAGCAATATAAATTCAATAATCAGCTTAAACATATCTCTGTACCTCCTTTTACCCCCTTTTCTTATCATCACCACCATCATTTAAAACAAAGTACACAAGATGTGGCATAATTGGACTGTTTTCAGAACCTATATGCCGTATGTCCATTTTCTCATCTGGCTGTTTCTCTCTGCTTCCTTCAGGGGAGAGCCATTGATCAGCAAGCTATTGATGGACACTCCTCTACCGGTGGAAATGGAATTCCTCTATTAGATTTCATACAGGGTCATGGAGTTTCATAAGACACGCAAAGGGAAGATAGATTTGTGCAAGCTTCCTCGAGGCCAGAACAGATGGAATGCGGCTCTTCCTGTACCAAGACGAAGTGGACCTTGGCCTCAGGCCTGGTGCTTTTAGAGTGTTAAGCAGTTCTTATGATTGGGGAAAAGCAAACATGTATTTAAACAGCTAGTTCTAAAAAGAAAGAGACATAAAACAATGGAGCCTATTTCCATGGGCACCATATGGAATTGTTATTTTAATCATCACTCTATGTAATCACACATTTAAAAAAAAATATTCTCTATAATTAGCCCTTAAATCTTAACTGCCCTTTGGTGATTAAATTTTCTAATCCAATGTGTTCCTGCTGTCCATTTAAACATGACTTTAGCTTATAAAAATATTGATGAATGTGGAAAAACACCTAGATTACAATGTTGCATACCTAAGAAGTGTAGTCCTAGAATTTGACCAGGTATGATATAGTGAAAAGGTGTAATAGTTTTACATATATCGCCGTATGTTAAAGGTATCATTGACTAGGATAAGGAAACATTATAAGTAAGTACTAATAATTGATTAGAAGCTAAGAGGAAGTATTGAATATCATTCTGGTCCATGAATTTTTCAAGATTTATGCCTCTAAAGTTTACATAAATAACTGTTATAACTACAGTCCATAGATCAAAATATAAACAAATATGATTATCTAATTGTCTTAAGCTGTATACTTTAGTAGAAAATGGTGAATACATGTTCATACCAAAACAAGTCAAGTTCGTGAGCTTTGACTAGCTCACCTGGGTTTGACTTCCAGCCTCACCACTAATCTTGGGCAAGCTACGTCAGATGAGCCACTCCCTATCTCATTTCATCAACTGTACTGTGGATATTAAAATAATCCTAATTTCAAAGTTTGTTCTACCAATGAAAAGACCTAATTGACTATTATAAAGCTCTTGAAAATCCCTGGCATATTTTAAACAATAAATGTTAGCTATCATTAGGATACACAGCTTTAGCAAAGACTCATTTTTCTGTGTGCTCTAAATGAATCTGTTTCTTTATTATGTGGTCTTACTATGATGATTATTGCTAACTGATTGCAAGATAGGCACTGTGCTAAGTTAAGCATCATACACTCACTCAAACACACACACACACACACACACACACACACACACACACACATAAAATTTCATTTGATTTTTTCACCATCTAGGGTTTATAGCTATTATTATAATGCCTGTAATACCAAACAGGAATTGAGGCATAGAGTTGCAAAGTAACTTCTCCAAGATCATAAACCATTTAAATAATGGGGACAAACACTACCTTAAGCATCAACAAAACCTAGATTTTCACTCAAGATATATAATTTACAAGCTGTATTATCTAAAGAAAGCTAACTGTATGGCTTATGTCCTTACCTGTAAAATAGGAGTAACATTATGTATTCTTTCCTGTTTCTTGAGTTAGTAGAGAGAATCAAATGATGTCATAATGATGAAAACACTCCAACAAGTGGAATATGAATTGAAGATTCCTCAGCGTATGGTACATAGGTCTCTTTAAGAGTGCTTCAGATTCCATTGTTCTTAGCCACCTCCTCAGTGAGCATGGAGCCTGGTTTTCCTTTGATGGTTATTCCTGTTATTTCCTGCAGTAGTTTCTGAAGGAAAGGAGGGTCTTAACATCTATAATCATAGCTGGTGTCTGAATGTGAACGTGTGGGGCTTTTCTTCCCTGCCTGTGATTCCTGGGCTTCCAGGAAATGTAGCTGCCATGTATAGATCTCATTTGAAACGCTAAATTCCAATAAATTTCTCCTTCTTGGGCCTTAAGATAAATTTGTTCTGCTTCTCCAAACTATTTAGGAGTTACCAAAATGGAGCTGCTGAGATCCTAATGACCCAATCTTTCTTCTATAACACAACTATCTCCTCAAAATGAAGACTCTCACGAGCATTTGGGGAATTGGGTGTTTGAAAGACATAGATTCAGGGACTATGGCTAAACTCTACCTCATGTTCTCAAACGAGGAGCCATCAGGTCCTCTACAACACAGGCCTTGTTATTCACTCTTCCCCCTTCTGCCCAGAATCCTGTTTGTCTCCTAGTGTTTGTAAACTCAGGAGTCTTATCCTCTCTCTGACTTCTTTAAAGGACCCACAGTTTATCAAGCAAGTCTGAATCCACCCCAAACTTCGAATCTGACGATAATATAACTTTAAATCTGTCAGAATATGTTTTATAAAATTGACATTCTACCCTTATACCAATAATATGAAAGAAAAAAAATATGGATATATGAATATGGCAAGTAATATGGAATCATAACTATGGTTATATTGCTTGCATTATAATCTTAAAATGGGGAGAATCTGAAAAAAAAAAACCACTGTTTTTTAAACATCTTTATGGAGTTACAACTTTAAATTTATTTTTTACCTTAGCCATCATCCAAATGGCATTGCTGAATAGGATTCAACCTATTAACTCCCAAAAGGTGATACATACTTTAACACTCAGATCTGAGACTCCCTAAAGAAGTAGGGGAAGGAATTATGAAGATAGAAAATCTTCTTGTTTCCTTAAAGTGGGTGTAGTTTCAAAACTGCCCGCGATGGTGGTTAAAGAACAATGGAGCCAAATAAAAGGGCCACTATTTGTTATATTCTGATATATTGAGGATCAAAAAAAATTATAGTTAATTGCAAGGGTTCTTACCCAGTGACAATTTGCCCCCCGAGAGACATTTTAATTGACTGAAGACTTTTTGGCTGTTACCACTAGGGAACGTGGAACTGGCTTCTGATGAGTAAAGACAGAGGTATTCCTAAACACCCACAATGCACAGAATAGCTCCCCACAAAAAAATTTTACAATTTCAAATGTCAATAGTGCTTAGACTGAGGGGTGCCTGGGTGGCTCAGTCCATTAAGCATCTGACTCTTGATTATGCTCACGTCATGATCTTATGATTCATGGGTTTGAGCCCCACATCAGGCTCTACGCCCGTCAGTGTGAAGCCTGCTTGGGATTCCCTCTCTCCCTCTCTCTCTCTGTCCCTCCCCTGCTTGCTGGCTCTCTCTCTCTCTCTCTCTCTCTCTCTCAAAATAAATACATAAACATAAAAATTGTTTAAAACTACAGGGCTTAGACTGAGAAATGCTTAACAATGGAAAAAATTTCATTTCATAAACAAACTCCAAATGGGGAAAAACTACATAAATGTAAATTAAGGTAGTTGTTTGCAAAAGAAGGGTAAATGTAATACATGTTTTTACGTTACTTTTAATGTGTGACTGAATTTGTCACCAGCTAGACCCCAACACCTGACATTTACTTCCTGCCTGCTTGTACTCACTAATCTTTGTCTAACATTTTTCCTTAAACACTTCTTTTTGGCTTACATCATAACTCAGGCAAATGAAACTGAAATCATCCCTCAGGTGATGGTGACTGCCCTAACAAGACCTGCCACCAGCCCAGACCACCCAGATCTTTTGAGCTAAGCCCCCGACTAGCGCCCGTGCAGCTGTACCATGGAGTGACCTTTGGAAGGACCAACAACTACCTTTACTTCATTATGCTAAAATCTCTGCCCAGGGAGGAGCCTCAGCCTCATTTACATAACATACAATGTGAGGACTGGCATTTTTCTTTAAGGTGCAACTTTATGCTTACCTCTACATAGGATGACAAGGCATCCCTATCTAAATACTCATTCTAACCCTAAACCGAAGGAACCCATTCACTCTGTCTCAGGGATTCTTGGCTTTGGAAGCCACTCCCAGTAATCTCTTTATTTGTTGCAAATAAAAGTTTTCTTTGTGCGAAAACTCAATCTGGTGCCATTTCTGACTCATCAAGGAGCAAACTCATGTTGCTTCATTGACATATCTGAGTGTGCTGATCTCAGGATTTTATTTGTTTTTATTAAGAATATGTGTGATCAAAGATATTTATTATTTGTTATCTGTGTGACGGGGGATGGTAGACAAAAGGAATCATGAGTGAGCCCAGCTGAACCAGAAAACCAAGAACTGTATTATAAACAAGAAGAGTGGTCAGCAGAAATGGCCCTACAAAACAATCTGTTAGAAATAGGTTTTAATGGTGGATGGCAGGACTGTAGTGCAATCGAATGTCTGTAAGAGGATGTGGAAGGTGCAGACTCAGCTGTCTTAGAAGGGAAATCTCTGTATGGTTCTACTAATTATAATGAGGTATTAACAAGATACGGTGAAGCAAATAATTATATGAGGTATCTGTAGCCCAAACTCAATGGATAAGGGAACAAAAAGAGGTGAAAGAAAAGGAATCAGTTTAGAAAGTCTGTGAAATAGCACATGAACTTGTACTAAAAGAGGGAGCCATACCAACTAGTATAGACTTGGAATTGAATCCCTTTGGGGTAAAAACAGGCCTTATTTTCAGACCAAGAACAAGTCGTTAATAAATCAGAACCTGATATCTTGGCTTGAAAGAATATTATTTGGGGTACACTGTTAAGATTAGGCTATCCAAGGATATGAATGCAAATGCAAATTTTTAAGCCCATAAATCCAGGTATCAATATCTATGTAGTGATTTAAGTGTCAATATAACAATAAGATTTGTAATAATTGAGCTATTCTGTGTATATTTAATTTGTCTTAAGAGTTGAAGTATTGAAAAGATCTCTTATATCGGATTGTTATTTTTATTGACATTCAGGGCTGGCTGGGTAAACAACTTTTAAATGGTTAGAATACTAGATTTGTGAATGTATATTTATATTCATTAGAAATGTAAGTAGTATATAAATTTATAGGAAAGTTGCCTAATGATTTACACGCTTAATAAATTGAATGATAAAAAAGCAAAAGAAGAGGTAAGTGCTCCTTTCCATACACAATAGTCTCCCAAGATTTAATAATGAGAAATTGCAGTAAGGAGTATCAGCAAACTATGGCCCACAAGTCAAATCTTGCCTGCTGACCATGTATGTAAAGCCTTATTACCTTTTTAAGTAGTTGAAAAAAACCAAAATAAGAATAATAATTTTTAATGTTTATTTATTTTTGACAGAGAGAGAGAGAGAGAGAGAGAGACAGAGACAGAGACAGAGCATGAGTGGGGGGAGGGGCAGAGAGAGAGGGAGACACAGAATCCGAAGCAGGCTCCAGGCTCTGAGCAGTGAGCACAGAGCCTGATGCGGGGCTCGAACTCAGACTGCGAGATCATGACCTGAGCCGAAGTCGGATGCTCAACCGACTGAGCCACCCAGGCGCCCCAAGAATAATATTTTGTAACATATAAATTATATGACAACCAAATTTTAGTGACCTTGTGTTCTTAATTGTGCTATTGGAACACTGCTACACTCATTCACTTACATATTTTTGTAGTATAATGGCAGAGTTAGCTAGTTGTGACAGAAACTATGCTGACAGAACTTAAAATATTTACTATATGGCCCCTTACAGAAAGTTGGCCAGTCCTTGGGATGGCAGTTATTAGCGTGGCCTTTAGAATAGGACTAGGTTTAAATGCCAAGTCTTGCTACTACTAGTCATGAATCCAATGAATTTCTTAAACTTTGAGAACCTCACTGCCCCGTCTGTGAAATGGAGAAAATTTTACCATCTACCTTATAGAGTGGCTATAAAGAGTAAATATTTGACACATGTAAAGCACCTAGAAGAGGGCCTGGAAACAGGGAGTCCTTTACAAAGGCTTTTATTAACACCAACTGGTACTGGGCTTACTTATTGCTAGTGTTAGAGTGATGGTGGAGGACTGCATACGCTATCAACTTGGAAATGTGAGATTTTAAAAGTTGCACACGTATTTACAATCATAATCTAAAATTCATATATCTTCTAAATGTCAGACCCCTGATGCAAAGCGGGTTGAACTTCCCTTGAACTCATCCCGAATCACAAAGAGTTGGTAGCAGAGGGAAGAATCATTGTGTGGTGGAACCACATGGGCTTTGGAAGCATTCAGGTTTCATAGGAATTATAATTCTTCCCCTGGCAATGTGGCTTAAAGCAGTTCAATATCCCTTTATCGAGCATTGCTTTTGTCATCTACATAAACACAAGATATATACCAGCATCACAAATGCATATACAGGTGCTCGGACCTGCTGAATCTCAAAGGATAATATGCAGATGTTTGCAATTAAAAAAAAAAAAAAAAAACCTAACGTGCTTTTGGTGCACATGCAGGCAGAGCTGAGAATCACAAAACTGAAATGTTTATGTAAAGTCTAAATGAGATAATGAATGTCAAACTCCTAGCAGAAGACCTGAGACAACCACTCTTCCCAAATCCAACACTTGCTAACATTCTGAACATCAGTCATTCAGGGTAATAGAAAACTTGAAGCTGGACTGGATGTCTTCATCCCAGAAAATGAGGAAGGATCATCTCTGTGCAGTAACAACAGGTAATGAACAGACCTTGCATAAAGTTGTCCCCCAAACTCTGGGGGGTAAAAATGCCTCTATCCAATGGTCAGAATTTCCTCAAACTCTCCATATTGGAAA